GTGGTTTTGATCAGCATTTCCCTAATGACTAATGTTGAGCATCTTTTCATGAGCTTGTTGGCCATTTGTATACCTTCTTTGAAGAAATGTCTATTCAAATTCAAGTCCTTTGCCGGTTTTTAAACTGGGTTGTCTTTTTGTTGAGTTAAAGTTCTTTATATTTCTAGATATTAAACCCTTATTAGATATATGATTTGCAAATATTGTCTTCCATTTTGTAGGTTGTCTTTTCACTTGCTTGATAATGTCCTTTAATTATAAACATTTTTCATTTGATGAAATCCAATTTATTTATTTTTTTCTTTTATTTCTTGTGCTTTTGGTGTCATGTCTGAGAATCCATTGTGAAATCCAAAGCCAAGGTCATGAAAATTTTCCCCTATGTTTTATGTTTTCTTTTAAGATTTTTTTCTTTTTTCTTTCCTTTTTTTTTTTTTTTGAGACATTTGAGTCTTTGTTGCCCATGCTGGAGTCCAGTGGCGCAATGTTGGCTCACTTCAACCTCTGCCTCCTGGGTTCAAGTGATTTTTGTGCACCAGCCTCCCAGGTAGCTGGGACCACAGGAGCACACTACCACACCCAGCTAATTTTAAAAATTTTTTGTAGAGATAGGGTCTCCCTATGTTGCCCAGGCTGGTCTTGAACTCCCGGTCTCAAGTGATCTTTCTACCTTGGCCTCCAAAAGTGTTGAGATTACAGGTGTGAGTCACTGCACCTGGCCTCTTTTAAGATGTTTATTGTTTTAGCTCTTATATTTAGGTCATTGGTCCATTGTGAGTTCATTTTTGTATATGATGTGGTATAGGGGTCCAACTTTATTCATTTGCATGTGGAAATCCAATTGTCCTAGTGGATCTGTTGAAGAGACTGTTCTTTCTCCATGAATGGACTTGGTACCATTGTCAAAAATTTGTTGACCATAGATGACTGGGTTTATTCCTGGATTCTCATTCTTTTTTAAAAACATGAAATGCTTCATAAATTGTGCATCATCCTTGCACAGGGCCATGCTAATAACCTCTCTGTATCATTCCAGTTTTGGTATATGTGCTGCCGAAGAGAGCACTGGACTCTTAGGTCTATTCTATTGGTCTACATGTCTGGCATAAGGATGTCATTACCACACTGTGCTGACTACTGTAGCTTTGTAGAAGGTTTTGAAATTGAGAGTACAAGTCAGTCCTCCAACTTTGTTCTTTTTCATGATTGTTTTGGCTCCTCAGAACCCCTTGCAATTTCATATGAATTTGAGGATTGGCTTTCCATTTCTGCAAAAAAAGCTTGTTGGACATTTGGCAAGAGCTGCATTGGATCTGTAGATTGCTTTGGGTAGTATTGACATCTTGCCAATATCAAGTCTTCCTATCTGTGAAAAATAATGTCTCCTCATTTATTTAGGTATTCTTCAATTTCTTTCAGCAATGTTTTACAATTCTTAATGTATAAGCCTTTCACTTCTTGGGTTAAATTTATCCCTTGGCATGTTATTTGTCTATTGTATGCTACAATAGCTATATGCTATTGTAAATGAAAGTGATTTAAAAATTTTTTTTGAACTGTCATTGCTGATGTATAGAAATACAATTGATTTTTGTGTATTGATCTTATAACCTACATCTTTGCTGAATTTATTAGCTCTAGTGGCTTCCTTGTAAATTCCTTAGGATTTTCCACATATAGGTTTATGCCGTCTGTGAATAGAGATAGTTTTACTTCTTTCTTTCCAGTTTGGATCTATTCTTGACAATCTTGCATAATGTAAATCCAAATGTTTCCATTTTTAATGGTCATTTTCTTAAAGTGATTTTGAAAACTGTTTAAGTTTCCAGTTGATATAGTATATATTGAAAGGAAATATGTAACTGTTTTTTAACTTAAGGTTTTTTTTTTCCCCATAGATTTGGCTAGCTGATTGGCTGCTGAAAAATAATCCTAACAAACCCAAACTTTGTCACCATCCAATTGTAGAAGAACCTTATTAAAAAAATCCTCGAAAGAACAAATCATGAACTATCTTATTGTAAAAGGCTGTATTTCTATTGTTTGAAAAAATTATTTCTAGGGTTTAAGTAACTACAAGTAAAATAAATTTATTTCTTAAAAATAAGTGTTAAAGGAATAACTATTCTATGAAGCAGACAACATTAAGGTAAAGTATAGGCTTAGAGTATGATTTTTTTTTTTTTTTTTTTTTACGGAGTCTC